AATTTCTTTTTCATTTTTCCTTACATTTAAATAAAGTAAACTGATGTTTAAATTTAAGGAAAAACTATAGGCATTGAAAAGTGTTGGCACATTAATGTTAGCATACCAAAAGAGCTGTACATGATATTCAGTGGACAGCATTCCGTGCGCCTTGGTGTTTAGTCATGCCGGCCACATGACCATGGAAACGTCTTCGGACAGCGCTGGCTCTTCGGCTTTTAAACAGAGATGAGCACAGCAACCCTAGAGTCGGACTTGACTGGCCTTCAAGCAAGGAAATCTTTACCTTTACAGGCATTGAAAAGTGTTGGCACATTAATGTTAGCATACCAAAAGAGCCGTACATGACATTCAGTGGACACAATTGTCCACTCGTCTCTCTACCGTGGAATTCACTGGGGCACTTAATTTCATTATTACTCTCTGTAACATCACTTGTGTGATTTGTTGGCGAAGTCATATAAGTAAGATTTTTAGCTTTGATTTGACCTATACATTTGACTCAAACAATCTTTTAAAATTTCAGTTATGTGTATTTGTCTTTTTATCCCCCCACCTCTAGCTCACAAATCAATGAAACATACAAGCAGTGACTCAAACCTTACTCTGAAACTGCTAAACTGCTTGCCTAATATTGTACTGACAATAGCATCTATCCATTGTTATTAATTAGTCTTTAGAAGTGGAAATTTTCATGCAGAAAAATTAAGCACTGGGAAAGTTCCCGCCACACATCTCTGTCACCTTCACCTGCCCTCCCTTAAAACCGAACTCCACTACTCTTTTGTGAGATTTAGTTGGTTGGATCTAGACACAGCTTCCAAACACATCACTTCTGTCACTGCTAAGAAGCCATAAGCTAACTACACTGTGGGTTCAATCAGTGCTTTAGCATCACTATGGCAACAGTAGCCATAACTACTTTTGCCTGTTGGCACAGGGAACCACCTGGCAATGGATTCACTGGGGAAGGAGGGAACAAGTGAAGAAAGTGCTTCATCTCACACTCCATACACCCCTGTGTGCATAAGGCCCTGGCAAGGAAGGTATAAGGGTGAGGCTGCCATTTGCTTTTGTGGGGAATGGAAAAAATGCTGCGGATGGAGCAAGATGTGTTACTACCTGTGATGCTGGGTACTACAGCATCCTGTATAGGGACCCCTCCGGGAGGCAAACATGCTCTCCAGAGTGTAGAAATACACATTCCCCCCTGCAATGCATAGAACATCCTCCCTAGAAAAAGTAATGTGAAAATAATCGGAGGCAGCACTCTGACCCAAAGGAGATTTCAATCTAAAATGGGGTAGAGAAGGAGCATGGAAGAAGACAAGGTCTAGATGTGAGCAAATCACTTACCCGTACTGGTGAAGTGTGGTTAGATTAATGGGTTTTACGTTCTGCATTAGTCATTTGACTCTGGGGCTATTTCAAGGCTGCAATCTTCCCACTAGCACTGATCACTACTTTTTATGCACAACTGCAGGCTTATCCCCACCCCATAGCCCAATTATCTTACACGTGATTTTGATTCATATTGTTAATGGCTGCCAACTGTTGTATAAATATTTGTTGTGTACATTTCCAATACACATAAGAACTTAACTCTGTTAATGTTTGTGATATTTTAAAAATACTTCATAACCGAAAGATCCGGCTCCCCCAAGTAGTTTGCAGTATAAATTTCAACTATGGGAAGGTAACCGAGGGCTTGGAATGGGAGGTGATGGATAAGAGCCGGAGAAAGAGGCAAGAGTGGGAAGAGGTGCAAAGGGGCAAGTGCGGTTACAGGGACTTAGGCTCAACTGAAGCGTGGTGACATTCCAGGAGGGCTTTTGCCTCACCAGCATCACATTTAAATCAAGCCTCTGCATCTAACTAGCCATGTGCATTTTGCACTTCTTGGCATTTTTTCAAAGTTCATTCTTAGGTGTGCAAGAGCCTGATTTGACCATAAGTGTAGCCTTCTCTGTCCCCTACACTGTTTTACTGACTTGAAATGGACCTGGAAAGCCATGATTTGCCTTGTCTAGTCCCTGGTCCTGTTTCAGGTCAAGAAAATGGCCCAAGGAAGAAGACTAACACCCCTGCTCTGCTCATGCCATGGTCCTTACCCAAAGTGAGTTCCTATGCATCTGATAATTAGGTTTGGGGGGGGAATGCTGGAAGCTACAGAGACCCTCAGCTGAGGATAAGGACAAAACGTATGTTACGTTTTCCCACAAATTGTGTCTGGGTTCCCTACTCCAACTTTCAGTCATACATGTTCCCCAAGTTCCCCGTTAGGAACCCAGTCTCCAAGGGTTTGGGGCTGATTCAGATAGGGGCTTCCTGTGGACTTGCAGTCAGTCATCATCTGTGACATTCC